CCTAAACCCTAAACCCTAAAATAGGCAAACAGATAGGAGACACAGTGAAGCGGAAACAGACAGAAAAGAAACAGACTAAAAGGAGACACCTAAAGAAAAATAAAGAGACATAAAGGAGACACCCAGGAGACAGGCGTAAAGAGGAATAAAGAGATACAAAGGAGACACCTAAAGAAGAATAAAAAACATAAAAAGGAGACACCTGAATAAGAATAAAGAGATAAAAGGAGACACTTAAAGAAAGATAAAGGGACATAAAGGAGACACTTAAGATGAATAAGAATAAAGAGATAAAAGGAGACACTTAAAGAAAGATAAAGGGACATAAAGGAGACACTTAAGAATAAAAAGGTAAGAAGGAGACACCTAAAGAAGAATAAAGAGATAAAAAGGAGACACCTAAAGAAGAATAAAACGAAGGAGAGACTTAAAGAAGAATAGAGAGATACAAAGGAGACACTTAAAGAAGAATAAAGAGACAAAAAGGAGACACTTTGTGCTTGTCTTTCTTACCGCACGGAGACGCGCGAAGGGGTCTGAGAGCCAAGTGGGTAGTACTGTCTCCTCAGGCATTCTCTTTCTAACCCCGCAGACAAACTCTAAGGGTGCAGCAAGAGACAGCAAGTCTCTACGTGTCTCCTGCAGCAAATAAAGCAAACAGATGCAGCACCAACGCAGCAGCAACAACCACAGCATGCACAATCGGGGGAGGACGAGCTGCAGCTGCAGCAGCAGAGCGTTAGCAGCAGCAATAGCAGGCTAATAGCAAGTTAGCAGCAGCAGCAGCAGCAGGAGATACACAATGTATTTGCAGCAGCACAAACAGAATGGAAGCAGATTAGCAACAGCAACAACGCACATAGATTAACAGCAGATTAGCAGCAGCAGCAGATTAGCAGCAGCAGCAGCAGCAGCAGAGCAGCAGGAGACACGGAGGGAGTGCTTACTGCATCGAGTGTATATGCAGCTATTTGCAACACTGTCTCTTGTGCTTCGTCTTCTATCCAAGGGAGACAGGTGTCTCCTCTGGGGGGACACCGGGAGACAAGAGAAGGGACAGCGTAGTTGCTGCTGCGGAGGCCTACTAAAAAGGAGACATCGAAGTGCTGCGCTGCAGCGCGAACACGCTGCTGCTGCTTTGCTGCAGCAACAGCAGCAAGTCGTCCTATAGGTGAGAAGGCAGCAGTAGGCAGCAGCTAAAACAAAACACAAAAAGACACAAAACAAGTACGCAACAATCCACACTCTAGCAGCAGCAGCAGCAGATCAGCAGCAGCGAAGGCAGCAACAGATTAGCAGCAGCAGCAGCAGCGGCTGCTGCAGCAGCAGCTGTTGCCGCTACAGCAGCGACAGGCCCAAGCAGCGACATAGCCATCTCCAGTGCAAGCCGATAAGCAGCAGCAGCAGCAGCAGCGGCAACAGCAGCACCAGCATTAGCAGCAGCAGCAGCAGCAGCAGCAACAGCAGCATCAGCAGCAGCATTAGCAGCAGCATTAGCAGCAGCATTAGCAGCAGCAGCAGCAGCAGTAATTACTAGGGGTGCTGCTTCCACAGGCAGCGCGAGCAGCTGCTGCTCCAGGCGTATGGCATTTCTATAGATGAGGAGAGCCTGTCGTGTCTCCTGCTGCAGCAGACTCTGCTGCTGCAGCAAGCCAGCCATTTGCTGCTGTCCCCGCTGCTGCGCCGATAGCAGCAATTCACTTTGAGAGAGAAAAGCAAGGAGACAACGCTGCAGCTCGCGCAGCAGCAGCTTCCGTGGGTCCTCTGCAACCTCATACACTGTCTCCTCTTCTTCTGCTGCGTCTGCTGCTGCTGTGGCTGCTGCTGAAAATGGATCGACAGCCCCTTTGCCGCTGCTGCTGCTGCTGCTCTCTAAGGGGTCCTGCAGGTCAGCATACAACTCTGCTGTTTCGTCTGTTGCTTCTGCCTGCAGCAGGTAACACAGCAGCAGCAGCAGCAGCAGCAAATGCAGCAGCGAAGGACTGAGAAGGCTGCACTGGAGACAGCAGAGACACAGAAAGGAGTTGCTGCTGCAGCAGCCAACATCACCAGAAGATATCACACTCACCTCAACCCACGGCGCTGCAGCACGGCGACCTGCCTGTAGTCGCTGCTGCTGCTGCGGCTGCTGCTGCGGCTCCTTGAGCTTCCAGGGGATGGGGAACTTCTGCTGCAGCAGCAGCGCGAACAGCGCATGCAACGGGTAGGGATCTGTTGCTGCGAGGTGTCTAGCCAGCTGCAGCAGCTGCTGCGCCACCGCCAGCCACGCGAGGCCCTCCGATGAAGACTGTCTCTGCAGCGCAACAGCAACAGCAGCAGCAGCAGCAACGGCAGCAGCAAGGCTTGCCAATTCCATGAAGGGCATGTCGAGGCCAAAGAGATAGCTATAGCAGCAACAGCAGCAGAAGCAGCAGCAGCAAGAAAGGAGCAGCAGCAAACAAACACCGGCAGAGAGCATCAACAGCAGCAGCTGAAAACAGCAGCAGCACAGCAGCTGCAGCAACAAAACGTCGCAGTGAAGCGCAAAAACACGAAAGACAGCAAGAGACTGCAGCACCAACCGCAGCAGCAGCAGCACGATTAGAAAAAGAAGCAGCAGCAGCAGCAGCAGCAGCAGGCGTACCTGTGCTGCGGATGTGAGCTCCGAGGCGCAGCGGGCCGCGAGGGGCCCGAAGCAGCAAACAGCAGCAGGAGAAGCAACAAGAGCAGCAGCAGCTTCTGTTTCATTTCCTTTAAGAGTATTCAGCAAGGCAGAGACAGAGTGCTGCGGTAGATTGTAGGAGAGCAGCATGCACAAGAAGGGCTCGCTGCAGCAGCAGGCAGCAGCAGCAACGCAGCTTACAGCAATATCAACTGGGGTGTCTCCTCTATTACCTAAAGAGGAGACAGCAGCAAACAGCCGCCTCAGAATAGAGACATATCGAGGGAAACCAAGGCTCTTCTTCATCTTGCTGCTGCTGCTGCTGTCCACCCCGCCAAACCAACTGGTGTTGCTGCTGCTGCTTTCATTGTTGTTGTTGCTGCTGCTGCTGGCCTCCCGCTGCTGCACTGCAGCATCAGCCAGCGACTGGTAGCCCCGAGCAATTTGCGTGGTTAGCCGCAACGCAGACAGCAGCAGCCCTTTAGCGATCTGCTGCTGCAGCGGCGCATCCCCTGTTGCTGCTGCTGCTCCTGCTGCTGTTTCTGCTGTTTCCGCTGCGCCCGCAGCAGCAGCAGCAGCAGCATCAGCAGCAAGAGCAGCAAGGCCTTCCTCCTGCAGCAGCTCAAGGCAAACCTCTAGGAGACGGCGACAGGGCAGCGCCAGCACCCGCTCAAGCTGCCTGTACACCGCAGCAGCAGCAGCCAAATGCTGCTGCAGCAATAGTTCAACAAACTGCAGCAAACGCAGAAGGCGGCCCCCATGAAGAGCGAAGAGAGAACGGGCAGCCCTAGAGTATGCCTGCAGCAGCAGCAGCACCAGCAACAGCAGCAGCAACAACAACAGCAATCAGATAAACAACAGCACGTTGTACAGCAATGGAGACGCCCCCCCCTGCTGCTGCTGCTGCTGCAGCACAGGCCTCAAACTATCGGCGTCTACTTTAGCTACACTGCCTCCACTTCGGGGCTGTTGCTGCTGCTGCTGCTGCTGCTGGATCGTGCTGCAGCTGGGGCTGCGCTTGCTGCATCAGCTGCAACTTGGGCCTTACAGGTCGATCAGGGTACGTGGGCAGTTCCTGCGTTTCAGCAGCAGCAGCAGCAGTTGCTGCTGCTGCTGCTGCTGCAGGAGCTCCAGAAGTAGTTGTTGCTGCTGTACCGGCGTTGGTTGCTGCTGCCGTGTTAAGGGAGTCTCCATCTGCAGCAGTTTGCTGCGCATCGGCTGGTGCAGCAGCCGTGTCTGCTGCTGCGTCTGCATCTGCTGCTGCTGCTGGTGCCGCTGCTGCTTCTGCTGCTGCTGCTGCTGCTGCTGCTGCTGCTGCTGGTTCAGGTTGTTGTGGGTGTTTCAGGGAGCGCAGCGCAGCAGCAAGAAGAGCATCAAGGCAGTCAAAGATGAGAGAGTAGACAGGCAGCCCCTTAGCAGCAAGAGAGACTGCTGCTGCTGCTGCTGCTGCTCTCAGCGGGGTAGAGACAGAGAGAGAAGAGCGAGTCACCCAAGACAGCACTTCAGCAAGCTCCTCCATCCGCACCACCTCAGCAGACAGCTGGTGCTGCAGCACAAACAAAACAGCCGCATACCAGCAGCAAAAACTGCAGCAGCAGACGCCGCTCCTGCTGCTCCTGCTCATGGTGCTACTGCTGCTGCTGCTACTACTACTGCTGGTTCTGCTGTTGCTGCTACTATTGCTGGTGCTGCTGCTGCTGCTACTACTGCTGGTGCTGCTCCTGCTGCTCCTACTCCTGCTGCTGCTGAGTTTGGTGCTGCCGCTGCTGCGGAGGCTGCTGCAGCAGCAGGGCTAAAGGCCTACCATTCGCAATGCAAGGAGGGGTGAGAGGTTTTCGGTGCTGCTGGTTGGTGCTGCCGCTGCTGTTGTTGTTGTCCCTGTTGCTGCTGCTGCAGCAGAGGCCTGTTCGGGTGCTGCTGCTTCTGTCTCTGCTGCTGCAAGCTGCTGCAGCAGACGCGCTGACAAAGCACTGCGAACCTGTCTCCATAGCCGCAAGACATCTGCTGCTGCTTCATCTCCCCCGCCATCATCTGCTGCTGCATCTCCTACAACTGTCTCCGATGGGCCCATAGACAAGTGACCTGCTGCGGGGCCCAGGAGACTGTCTCCTGCTGCTGTTGCTGCTGCTGCTGCTGCTGGCAGCCGCAATCGACACAACAAAAACAAAGGCATCGGCTCCTCGGGAAGCAGATCCTCATCCTCCTGCAGCAAATACAAATATGCACACGCAGCCCCCCTACCGACTCAGCATCAGCAGGAACCGCTGCTGCTCCTGCTGCAGCAGCAGCAGCAAACGCAACAACACATATGGCATGAAGCACCTGCTGCAGCAGCAGCTGCAGCCATGACGCTGCAAACGGCATTGAACAGCAGCGCATGAGGGGGTTAGCAGCAGGGTAGGTCTACAGCAACCGCAGCAGCAGCAGCAGCTGCTGCTGCTGCTGCAGACTTTGTTGTTTCTTACCAATGCCCAGTTTTGCGGTGTATAGGGAGCTCTAAGTGTCTCCAAAAGGGACGGCAGCTTTGCTGAGAGCGTGACGACATGTGTCTCTGTAGCAGCAGAGGTGCTGTTGGTGGTGGTGTTGCTGCTACCGCTGCTGCTGCTGCTGCTGGTGGGTGCCGCTGCAGCAGCAGCAGCATCTGCAGCCCCCAGCGCCGATAATAAAGTAGAGACAGAGCGCGGGGGACAGACAGAAGGGCGAGAGACAGAAGGAACGATGTGGAAGGAGAAGGAGACAGTTGGTAGCACAGCCCCTGGGGCCCAAGGGCCCATAGCCTGCAGCAGCAGCAAAGCTGCTTGCTGCAGCTGCGGCAGCAGCACACCGCACTGCAGCAGCTGCTGCAGCACAAATGCTTGGGAGTCCCTCAGCTGCAAGAATACCTGCCGCTGCACCCTGCATACCCACGATAAGCAGCAGCGTAGCTGCAGTACGGCCTGCGACACAATGCAGCAGCAGCAGCAGCAGCAGAAAGGGTTCAGCAGAAGGTCTGTGTGTCTGTTTCCTAACAAACAAATGCAAAAGCAGCAGCAGGCTGCTCTTCCCGCTGCTGCTGCTGCTCCACCTGAAACGGGTACTGGCGGAACTGCACTGAGGAAGCAGCGCTGGAGCAGCAGCAGCAGCAGAAGCAACGGCAGCAGCAAGGCATGCAGCAGCAGCAGCAGCAGCAACAGCAACAGCAGCAGGAATTGTACCTCCTGACGAAATCCCTCGAGGCTCTGCAGCCAATTAATAGTTTCCCATTGCTGCTGTGCGGGCAGGATCCGCTGCTGCTGTTTGCTGCTGCTGCAGCTGCTGCTGCTGCTGCTGCCTATCCACTGTCCTGCGGAAAGGAGAGCAGCTGCTGCTAGCAGCAAGATCTGCTGCAGCTGCGACCTCCTAAGGCCCACCCAAAGGAGACCCTGGGCCCCCTTTAGGGCCTCAGCTGTCTCCTTTAAGTCTTCTGTCAGAGACGGTGTTACTACATGCAGAGCAGCAAACAGCAGCTGCAGCAAAGACTGCAGCACAGGGAGACTGCAATCCCGCGCCTCCACCCACAGAGACAGCAGCTTCGCCAGCTGCGGAGACACCCCATACTCCCCTGCTAAGCCACTTCCTGTTGCTGCTGCTGCTGCTGCTGCTGCTGCTGCTGTCTCCCCGAGCCACTCAAAAGGAGGGGCTATGCATGCAATGCAGCGGCAAACCGCAGAGAGAACTGCGCTGAGGCCCTCAGGAGACACACATACAGCGAAACCCACCCCGGGAACCACAGGCACCCTGCTGCTGCTGCTGCTGCTGCTGCAGATGCTGCCGTTCAAGTATGCTGCAGCTGCTGCTGGCTGCGCAACCAGCTGTCGCTCCCAAGGCAGCAAGCCTTCATTGTCTGCGGTGTCCTCCATAGGCTGCTCCCCTTCATCCTCTACTGCTGCTGCTGCTGCTGCTGTTGCTGCTGCTTCTGCTTCTGCTGCTGCAGTGTCCTGCTGCTCCTCCGTAAGGTGATCTCCCGCCAGCAGCAGCTGCGGGCAACGACGCACCAGCAGCAGCAGCAAACGTGCAGCAAACTTAACACCAACTGTCTCCTCTGCTGAAGGAGGTAGGCGCCAGGAGGACCCTGGAAGGCAAGATAGATCGCCAATCCCCCCACTGTTGCTGCCGCTGCTGCTGCTGCTGCTGCTGCTGCTGTTGCTGTTGCTGCTGCTGCTGCTGTGATGAGGCCTTGCTGCTGCCGCCGAAAAGCTGCATCAAAGCGCTGTGCAGCAGCAACACACGTCTCGCCAGCAGAGGATCGCCCTGCAGCAGCTGCACGTACACCCCAGCAGCATCAAACCACCACAAGCATATAACGCAGGCGCAGCAGCAGCACCAGCAGCAACTGCAGCAACAATAACAGAATCAGCAGCACCAACAACAGCAAAAGCAGCAGCAACAGCAGCAGCAACAGCAGCAGCAATTGCAGCAGCACCAGCAGCAGCCATGGAGGCCTACAGCAGTAAACGAGGTCTCATGCTCTGTTGACGTCCATTTGGGTGTATTAACAAGAAGCGTCTCGGCTGCAGAATCCGCAACAGCAGCAGCAGCAGCAGCAGCTGCTGCTGCTGCTGCTGTTGCCGCTGCTGGCTCCGATGAAGCTGCTGCAGCAGCCGAGCCGCCGCCTGCTGTGTCTCCTTGAGGGGCTGAGGAGACAGCTGGCTGCTGCAAAGGAGACACTATCTCCTCTAAGCAGCACAGAAGGGGGGCCCCCCACTGCCATAAGAAGGGGCCCCCCACAACTTCATCTTCCGCCAGCAGCAGCAGCAGCAGCAGCAAACAACCCAGCACCTCCAGCGAGCCCCCGATGCTGCATCCGGCTTCTCCATCTGCTGCTGCAGCCGAACCACGAGCTAGCAGCGAAGCTAACAAGAAAACAACACGCCTGCAGCAGCAGCAGCAGCGACAGCAACAACAAGGCGGCATGACGAAGACTCAAGGGTGCTGCAGCAGCAAGGCCTCTGCTGGAAGCAGAAGCAGCAACAGCAAATGCTCCGCCAACAGCAGCAGCTGCAGTGCAGCAGGTATCGCATTAACAGCCGCAAAGCAGCTGCAGCAGCAGAAAGGAGGGAACAGCAGCAGCAGCCGCCACTGCATGCAGCAAACACCGGCGACGCAGCAGCAGCAACAGCAACAGTAGCAACAGCAGTAGCAGCAACAGCAGCACAAGCAACAGCAGCAGCAGCAGCAGCAGCAGCAGCACCACTCACCCCTGCAGGTGGCAGTGAGCGAGAGTCTCCGCAACAGCAGCAGCTCCTGCAGGAGTGTCTCCAAGGGCTGCGAGAGCAGCAAGGGCTTGTGCGTGAACTTCCGCGCTGCTGCTGCTGCTGCTGCTGCTGCTGCTGCTGGGTGGGAGGCCCAGGGCCTTGAAGGCTAAGTGCAGGAGTGTCTCCAAGGGCTGCGAGAGCAGCAAGGGCTTGTGCGTGAACTTCCGCGCTGCTGCTGCTGCTGCTGCTGCTGCTGCTGCTGGGTGGGAGGCCCAGGGCCTTGAAGGCTAAGGCCCTCGCCCTCACGCGTAGGCGGACAGATAAAGTTGTTGAAGAGAGAAGAGCAGCAGCTTGGGTGTCTCTGTTGTTAGGAAGCCCTGCTGCTGCTGCTGCTGCTTCAAGAGGGCCCCACACTGTCTCCGAGGCGTGCTCTGTACATACACCGTAACGCCCCTGCAGCAGAGTCCCTAACAAACAAGAAGACAGCAGCTTCCTGCTGCAGCCAACGCACGAGCCGCACAGACTCCCGCTGCTGCAGGCTGCAGCACAAACTGTCTCCTCCTTTGATGTGTCTCCTTTTGCTGCAGCGCTGCCCAAAGCCTCCAGCCAAGGAGCAACAAGAGACACCCGCCTGCTGCTGCTGCTGCTGAAGGTGCAGATCTTGCTGTTGCGGAGCCCCAAAGCGCCGCCCCCGCCTTGGTGCTGCTGCTGCTGCTGCAGCTGCTGCTGCACCGCTGCAGCAACAGCAGCAGGTAGCTGCCCATCTAACACTGCGTGTCGGTGCAGCAGAAGACAGCTGCAGGTATCTAGATCTAGCAGCAGCTGCTGTAGCAGCATGTCTCCGTGTGGCTGCAGCAACAAGGGGACCCCGTTGCTGCAGCAGGAGACAGTTTGCAGCAGCAGCCGCACAGCAGCAAGCAGCCGCAGGTCTGCTGCTTGAGGCCCTGGCAGAGCCTCCAGTCTCCTCCTTGCGGTTCTTGCTGCAGCAGCAAGAGACACAGAAAAACCCAAGCAGCAAAGGAAGAAGCGACGAACAAACAGCGGCAGCTTGCTGCACTGCAGCAGAGACAAATTAGCAGCAGACCAGCAGCGCGCGTGAAACCCAAAGGAGATCTCCGCCTGCAGCAAAAGGAGACAGAAAAAGACACAAGGAGACACTCAATATGCTGTCACTGCTGCTGCTGCTGCTGTTGTTGCTGCTGTTTATACTGCTGCTGTGCCTGCTACTGCTGTTTCTTGCTGCTTTTGCTGCTGCCGCTGTTGTTGTTGTTGTTGCTGCTGCTGCTGCTGCTGCTGCGCCTACCTCCAAAGCATCATCGACACGAGAAGCAGCACTGAGAGGGGGCAGAGACACTTCCTGCAGCAGCAGGAGACAGCGCTCTAGGGCATCTGCAGCAGCAGCAACTCGGCCTTCTCCATCAAGCAGCAGCTGCTGCAAGTCCTCGGGATCCGTGCCACCCGCTGCTGCTGCTGTTGCTGCTGCTGCTGTGGTGCGGCTCGACTTAACAGCAGCAAAAGATAAGGCAGCAAGAGGATCAAGATGGTCAGTCTCCATCTGCATATCACCTTCTGTCTCCTTCTTTATAGCCTCCAGCTTGCCTGCTGCTGCTGCTGCAGCTGATGCAGCAGGAGGCGTCAGTGGCAGCAGCTTGCTGCAGCAGCTGCGTGCTGCTGCGAAGCAGCGCCAGGCCTCTACCCGCAGCACCAAACACCCCACAAGTCTCTTGAGCGCAATCCTAGCTAAGTAAGGGTCTGCAGCAAGGGCCTCCTTAAACATATGCAACAACGATACGCCTCCCTTGCTGCTGCTGCTGTCGCTGCTGCTGCTGTTGCTGCTGCTGTTGCTGCTGCTGCTGTTGCTGCTGCTGCTGCTGCTGCTGCTGCGGTTGCTGCAGCTGCTGTGGATGCCCTCCGTAAGGAATAACGCGTCGGTCTCGCCGCTTCCCGCTGTCTCCTGTTCAGCCCCTAGCTGCTGCAGCTGCAGCTGCTGCTGCTGCAGCTTCTGCTGCTGCTGCTGCTGCTGCTGCTTCGTCATCGGGATATTCCCCTGCTGCTTCAGGTGTATGTGCATCTGCTGCGGCATCTTCTGCTTCCTCTTCTGCTGCGTCTGCTGCTTCTGCTGCTTCTGCTGCTTCTGCTGCTTCTGCTGCAGGTGACAGCGAGTTTTCTCCCTGGCTTTCGCTGTCATAGTGTCTCCTCTTTCCTCGACGAGTTGCTGCTGCTGCTGCTGCTGCTGCTGGGTGTTGTATTTGCGGTGGAGAAGGCAGGTGAGCAGCAAGTTGCTGCTGCAGCGGCAGCAGCAACTGCTTCCTCAGCCAGGCACGAATGAGGAGACAGAGTTGCTGAACCGCTGCAGAATAAGCTGTCTCCTCTTCCGGCGCTGCTGCTGTTGCTGCTGCTGCTGCTGCAGCTGTTGCTGCTGCGGGCCCTACGCCAAACAGGACATCTGCTGCAGTAGGAAGGCGAGGCAGCGGCATGAAGCGCGGCAGCAGCAGTGTCTCTTTGTCTCCTGCTGATGCTGCAGCATCTGATGCTCCTTCTCCTTTAGTAGCAGCAGCAGCAACAGCAGCAGCTGCTGCTGCTGGCGGCAGAATATCAGCAGCAACTGTCTCCTGAAAGCCGCGGAAGTCAGCTGCCCCCGGCACTGCTCGCGTTGTGGTGCTGCAGAAAGGAGACAAACAGCAGCAAAGGAGACAGCTGCATTTAAATACAATAACCTGAGGCTAGCGAACAGATTCCTATCGATACTGTTGCTGCTGCTGCTGCTGCTGCCGCTGCACTGCTCCTGATGGCCTTCTGCTGCACCCAAAGCAGCACCTCTACCAGCAGCGCCGTCAGCAGCAGCAGCAGCTGCTGCAACAGCAGCAACGACAGCAGCAACAACAGCAGCAACAACAGCAGCAGGAGCACCATAGTGTGGTGCAGCAGCAGCAATAACAACAGCAACGGCAACACCATCAGGCGTCACAGCAGCAGTAGTAACAGCAGCAATAACAACAGCAGAAATAGCAACAGCAGCAGCAGCAGCAGCAGCAGCTTACAGGCTGTGGGGTTTAGGAAGGCCTGTGCCGATGACAGCAGCAGATAGTTTTGAGAAGAACCCCGCAAAGACAAACTCATCAACAAAAAGAGGAGCTTTGACACCTTCAGGAGGCATAAAGGAGACCCATTCCTGCTGCTGCTGCTGCTGCTGCTGCTGCTGCTGGTCGTGTTGGGCTGCTGCTGCAGCAGCGCAGCCGGGAGGCAGCCGCTGCTGCAACTCCATAAAGACAGGAGGAGACTCTTGCTGCAGCACACGGACGAAGACACGCAACTTTGCTGCTCTAGGAGAAGGAATAGAGACAGCAGCAGGAAGCCGCAGCAGAGGGTGTAGCTGCTCTCCTGAGCCCAGCAGCAGCACCTGCTGCAGCAGCACAGCAGCATCAGGCACCACCACACGCTCGCAGCAAAACCCTGCGGTATATCCAGCCCCAACGCCACCTGCTGCTCCTCCTGCTGCTGCTGTTCCTGCTGCTGCTCCTGCTGCTGCTGCTGCTGTTCCTGCTGCTGCTGCATTGCAAGGACGCCCTTCTAGCTGAAGAGACAAACAAACAACTGTCTCCGGAGACACCGCAACTGCGGGATGAAGAGACAAGCGGCCAGCTAAGGGGGGGCCCCCTAATCCAGCAGCAGGTCTACTCACTAGGGAGGAAGCAACCGCTGCTGCTGCTGCTGGTGCTGCTGCTGCTACTGCTGCTGCTGCTGCTCCTGATGCTGCTGCGGCTGCATCCGGTGCTGCTGCTCCCGCAGCCCCTGCTGCGCCCACCGCAGACGTAAGCGCCATCGTCTGCTGCTGCTGCTGCTGTTGCTGCTGTTGTCGCAGAGTGTTGAGCCTTGCTGCAGTAGCGCTGCCCCTCAAGGCAGCACATACACCCCAAGGGGGCCCCCCTCTGGATTAACTTCGGCCTGAGAAACCCGTTGGGGGGCCCCCAAGCCTTTACTTACTGATAATACGTGCTGCTGGGGTGATGAGACCTGCAGCAGCTGCAGCATGCTGCTGCTGCTGCTGTTGCGGATGCTGATGCTTCTGGTGCTGCTGCTGGTGCTGCTGATGCTGATGCTGCTGGTGCTGGTGCTGCTGCTGGTGCTGTTTCTGCTGCTGCTGCTGCTGTTTTAAAAAGAGAAGCCTCCGCTGCCTATGAAGAGAGGGGTAGAAGGAGACAGAAGGAGACAGAGTAAGAAAGGAGGAGACAAAAGGAGACAGCAAAAGAGAGAGAGAGACAGCAAAAGATTTAATGCTGCAGATGTATGATTAACTATGAGGGCCTCCATAAGGAGATGCTGCTTAGCACGCAACTAGCGGTGCAGCAGCAACAACAGCAGCAGCAGCAGCAGCTGCTGCAGCAGCACCTTAGAAGGTAATGCCTTCTTCTTAATGAAGAAAACAAACAAATTTATAAGCACCTGCTATAATATTATATTTTGCTGGAGCCCCCGACAGCAGCGGGGGGCCCCTAAGAAGAGATGCTTAGAGAGAGTTTGAGTGAAGCAGCAAAGCAAGGAAGCAGCATAAGAAAAGATATTAAAAGATATAATATACACAACCAGCAACAACACAACACCCTTCGTTCCTGCTGCTCCTCCTGCTGCTGCTGCTGCTAAGCAGCAGCCCCGCTGCTGCATGCGCTGCAGCAGCAGGGGCCCCAGGAGGACGACGAGGGGCCCCTGAATAAGCAAGCAATTGCTTCAGGATAGAGAGCTTTTATTAGGGTTTAGGGTTTAGGGTTTAGGGTTTAGGGTTTGTTATGCCTTAATAGCTAGCAACAGACCTTGTAAAGCCTGTAGATAGCTGCAGGGTGTAGCTGCTTAGTTTGTCTCTTTCTCTGTCTCCTTCTGTCTCCTCCTGTCTCCTTCATCTCTATTCTCTCTTCTTTATCTTCTGTCTCTTTTAATCTCCTTTGTATTTTTTGTCTTTTTCTCTGTCTCCTTTGCGTCTTTCTGTCTCCTTTTCTGTCTCCTTCTGTCTCCTCCTCTGTCTCTTTCTGTCTCCTTCTCTGTCTCCTTCGCGCTGCAGCAGCAGGGGCCCCAGGAGGACGACGAGGGGCCCCTGAATAAGCAAGCAATTGCTTCAGGATAGAGAGCTTTTATTAGGGTTTAGGGTTTAGGGTTTAGGGTTTAGGGTTTGTTATGCCTTAATAGCTAGCAACAGACCTTGTAAAGCCTGTAGATAGCTGCAGGGTGTAGCTGCTTAGTTTGTCTCTTTCTCTGTCTCCTTCTGTCTCCTTCTGTCTCCTTCATCTCTATTCTCTCTTCTTTATCTTCTGTCTCTTTAATCTCCTTTGTATTTTTTGCCTTTTTCTCTGCCTCCTTTGCGTCTTTCTGTCTCCTTTTCTGTCTCCTTCTGTCTCCTTCTCTGTCTCTTTCTGTCTCCTTCTCTGTCTCCTTCTGTCTCCTTCTTATGCCTTAATAGCTAGCAACAGACCTTGTAAAGCCTGTAGATAGCTGCAGGGTGTAGCTGCTTAGTTTGTCTCTTTCTCTGTCTCCTTCTGTCTCCTTCTGTCTCCTTCATCTCTATTCTCTCTTCTTTATCTTCTGTCTCTTTAATCTCCTTTGTATTTTTTGCCTTTTTCTCTGCCTCCTTTGCGTCTTTCTGTCTCCTTTTCTGTCTCCTTCTGTCTCCTTCTCTGTCTCTTTCTGTCTCCTTCTCTGTCTCCTTCTGTCTCCTTCGTCTCTTTCTGTCTCCTCTGTACGCTTCTTTCGCTTTGTCTCCTTTGCTTCTTTCTTTCTTTTTCTGTCTCCTTCTCTCTCCTACTGTCTCCTTTTCTGTCTCTTTCCGTCTCCTTCTCTCTCGTACTGTCTCCTTTTCTGTCTCTTTCTGTCTCCTTCTCTCTCTTACTGTCTCCTTTTCTGTCTCTTTCTGTCTCCTTTTGTCTCCTTCTCTCTCCTACTGTCTCCTCTTTTGTCTCCCTCTGTCTCCTTTTGTCTCCTTTTGTCTCCTTTTGTCTCCTGTTGCCTCTTTCTGTCTCTTTCTGTCTCTTTCTGTCTCCTTCTGTCTCCTACTGTCTCCTTTTCGTCTTTTTCTCTCCCCTTTATCTCCTACTGTCTCCTTTTCTGTATCCTTTTGCTTCCTTTTGTCTCTTTTGCAGCTTCCTATCTCCTCTTCTGTCTCCTTTTGTCTCTTTTTCGTCTCTTTCTGTCTCCTTTTTCTGTCTCCTTTATCTCTTTCTGTCTCTTCTTCTGTCTCTTTTTTATCTTTCTGTCTCCTTTATTTCCTTCTCTCTCCT